TCGTCGCCGTGTTGCCCACTAGCGCTGCCCCCGCTCACCTGTAAGTTCAGCCATCGACCTATAATGCTGTTTTTATAACTCTGCCCCTAAAGGCCCTACTTCACGGTGACATTGTCACAGTTTTTTGCGTAGTTCTCAGTGGTGCCGCTAGACGTCGCGTGAGCGCGACCGTATACTACAGTCCGAATGGGATAGCTCCCAATTTGCCGGTCTACGAAAGACCGAGGCGTAAGTAGTGTGTGTATGTACGTACATACCTACAAGCAATCACAAGGGCCCTCAGGGGTTTGAAGACTACAGTTTGCGGGGTTTTTGATGTGCTTCATGTTCTCTTATTGCAATACTGATTTTTCTTATTGCAGATCTTTCAGCAAAATGCCTTTGTGTATTGCTATGTTCTTCCATAAACCTTTTACCAACATTTTACAAACTTCAACTTTACGGGAGGAAAGATCCTTACTCTCCATTTTGCAATGCTCACGTATAACCCTTTAAAACAGCATAATTACATTAAGTCTACTCGTTAAACAACATTTAAATGAATCCAACGCAATGAACTACGTCGGCGCAAGACATACTTTTGAAAAGAAACATCAGAACGTCATAATACTGGGCGTTACCAGAAATACATTTGAGAAGAGGACCGTTGGGTTTAGCGGAGTGTGCTTTAGTGCGATGGGCAATTAGGGTCTCACAGACCGGTGCGGAAGATCCGCAACGGGTGCCGCACGGAAAGTTCCCCGCTAGACGCGTCGGGGGAATCCATCACGATCCGTTCGCACCGCAGCGTCAATTATGTCTCAGCGTTTGGTGACAGTTTTCCTCGGCATATAAACAAAGACAAGGCAACCCGACGCAGAGGGAGCGAAGACTCCCGAAGACGGCCAGACTTCCACGAAACACGATCAGGAGCGGACAAAACGCGACCAACTGCGTTACGAAATCCGCCACGGTTTAAGTGCTGACAATTCACTACTGCGACGCTCGCCTGGCGCTCAGGTCTGAAGGTGCTCATAAGGCAACACGAGACGCGAAATTACCGCTGCGGCCATTCCACTTAGGCTGCTGATCTCCCGCGCCGGTCTGTGGGAGCCTGATGATTGATGTGGCTTTACTACTTTAATCTAATAGAATAAGAGCGTGAAAGATGAATTTTCTGTCTAATCATAAATGTTAAGACGTCGAAATAGCTCGATTTTGCATTCGTGGTGTGGGAGAGCGAGTACATTTGTTGAACGACTTGCAAGAAAACGCTTTCACTGATTCGTGAAAGAGAAATTTCTGAAATAACGAAACACTATGGCTGTTAGCACACATTGGCCTCAGAATCTGATTTCCAATACTAATTATTTTTTAGGAAAATAATGTTAATGTTTTGCCTGCCCTGAGAGTTATTTACGTTTCTGACACCTTGTGCGTGCCTGGAAGCATAACATCCGCATTTCGCTCCGCTCCTACGCGCCAAAAGAGTTGGGACTCCGGGTTTCGAAACAAAGCACCGATTGTCAATAAAGCATTTAATAGCTATGCGATATGCGAAGTCCGTCTGATGATTGTAACAAATTCGTGCTAACGGTATCTTACGTAGAAAAACAACTATTCTTTCTCGGTAAAGCGACAATTTGAGGCACTTGACGTATTATCGTGGCGATGCTCGCTTCGGCCCGGTCCGAAGATATGGTGCCCTCTCCTGGCCTTTTGCGAAGCAGTTATTCGAGCGCTTAAGCCTAGCACGTATTGGGTCAGTACGGTACGAGACCGCCGCGATGGCCGGAATTTTCAAATGTTGATTACATTGATTTCCGTAAGGGAGCGCGCACTAGTCCGGCACGGACGTGATGGAAGTATCTGTACCTTCCACCGTTTGCAAAAAGTCCGGAAGAAAGATCTGGACATCCGATGTGCCGACCAGGTGCCGACGATGTCATCGGGAAGGTCGAACTGCCTTGTGAAGCGTGTGGAGCGATCATGAATGCGCCGAATTTAATTATGTTGATTCAGAATTATCCCGGTATGTACAGCGTGATATTAAATTTTTCATTTAATGTATTACCTTATTAGGTTAATTTAATTGGTTAGCTAAACTATTTGAATCACGGAGGAACATTTGTGAAATTTTAATTTCTAGGTATTTATAAGCTGTACAATATTGGTGAAACTTACATTCTTGGCCATTTGGGATGAGCCGCGTCTCTGCCATCTTGCTGTGGCCTCCTTCAGAGCTATATAGCTCTATATAGCAGTATAGCACAATTGACCGAGACGCGGCTCACCCCGGATAGCCAAGAATGTATTGACTCCGGTCGCGGAAGCCTATGAACGCAATGGTGAAACTTCGTTGATTAATGCACTGTGAATAATTAATGTTGTTTTGGAGTGAATTATTAGTTCATTAATCAATGTCTTTTTTGTATGCATCTTGCGTGAATTACAGCGCCGAATATTTTTGAAAGTTTGTAAATAAAGTAATGCAATTATGAGACCGTTACTAAGTTAAATGTTATCAACATATTTATTGATATCTTTTGTTTTTTCAAAATATTCAATTCAGCTTCAACTTAATCGTGAGGCATCCTGAAGAACTGGAACAATTTTTCATCTTTCACCAGGTCGGGATGTAATACATGAAATTCCCCTTTTATGTCATTATCGTTCTGATGAGAAGAGAAGGGAATTGGGAATTTCTTCGACTCCTTGCCTAATTTCCTTCTTCTGTTATTAAAAATGAACCTAATGCAATTGCTTCTTTACTTCAATTCTGAAGCCGTCGTACACAACAATACAAGAGACGGGGCGAAGTGTCCGTGCCGTGCCGTGCTGTCCTGTCCTAGTACGCGCGACTCTCCCAAAAACCTGTCCGTCCATGCCGTACCGTAGCGATCCAGTGTGCGCGTATTGTTCCACACTTCTGATCCATAATTCAAAATACAAATTGTCATTTAAAATATTTTCATTTTGGTCTCTTATGTGATACCTTTATCCCATAAAATACTAATTAAAATTGAAATATCGTTTCTCCTAAATTAATTTTCAAACCAAATTTCTTAAAACCATTTCCATCATTTGTAATTTTAATTTGTGTGTATAATTTTCACCATGCCTTCTTCTAAAACCATATCTTTCCTATCATACTTTTAATAGGCATATAAAAGTTTGCGCCTTAAGCGATGTGATATGAGGAAGATAGATCCAAAGAAATTTTGCAGATTTTTCAAGGAAGGAAAGCACATATCATATTCTTTTAATTTTGTACTACCAGCAAGGCAAACAAATTATTTTTTTTCACAGCAATAAAATTCTCTTCCATTTCCATCAAATGCTCAAAATTTCACAACACCACACTCGAAAATTCTGAGCTCACCATGCTCAGAAATGGAGTTTTACTCATGAGAGACATTGGCACTTTACTAGCCGTTTCAATGATGGTAGAAAAATACTGTTTGTTCCTTTTGGCCCTTATTACATTACAAGTAGTCCTTACTTTTGAAATACAGTATTACAGTCAAAGATCTCTTTTGCAAAACAATCAGGATACCTATCAAACAAAATATGTATTGAAACACTATTGCCAGAAATGTGAATTGAAAACTGTTCATTTCATGAAGAAGGCCTCTGACAAGTTGAAAAGATTTACTGTCAGACTTCTCAGAGTAAAATGGTTTCACAAAAATCTTCCAACATTTCTCAGTCAAACACAATTTCAGTAAATTTCAAGTTGGAGCTCCAGTGGCCAGGTGTTACAGTTGAAATGCGTGATCCTGGTGCAAAAATATTTGCGTAAGTTCTCTTCACTGATTGACGAAAGATTGTAGGAACGCTGGTAATGGATGAACAAATATACAATCTTCATATTACTTTGCAACACTGATGCAATACCAAATTTAGGTGTTGTGCCAAAGAGTACAAATATTGGAGTTTTCTCCTTTTTTTTGAGCCCATTTGAATGGCCAGACATTACACTTCGACACTCCGCTACTAATTTATTCTTGTAGTTAAATGGTCACAAAAGTCTGCCTGCCTGCCTGCCTGCCTGATTCTACGCTTTTAATAAAATTGATTAATTTACCTAGTGTTTTACAATTCCTTATATAAATTCAATATGAATGTACTAAAATAGTAAATAAAGTAGAGAGACAATGTTTTTAAAAAAGAACATTACTACTAAATTTAGTTATTTTGCAAAATGACCAAATTCAACCCCTCTGCCAATGTTATGTTGCATGCTGCAAAATTAGTCAAAGCCATTAATTTTAATCATTGTATAATCACCTTCTCATACACAAGGCGAAAGGAGTAAGGGTAAAAGGGAAGTTACATTCTTTTTTAATTGAAGAGGAGGGAAAGAATATGTATAAAACATGAAAAGTTAAGAGTTGCAATACATCTTTCTTCTCTCACACAGTCACTTTCATCAAATAAGAAATTGAAATTAAATGTCAAAAGTATGAAAGTGAAACAATACATGCACAATGACAGAGCAATCATACAAAATTATAATACATTGAAATGTCACTACGATCATACGTCTATTAGTGTGTTACTTGTGAAATGCTTTACCCAGATAAACAAAACAAAACAAAACTAAAACAAACAAATGAAGTGTTTTGAACAACCAAAAACCAATTCTTCAGAAACAATTGTCACCATGTGTTAAAATCCCAGGATCATGCTGAGTCGCTGAAGCACTGACGAGCAACAGAACAAAAAGACCACAATCACCCCATGAAGACTAATTGTTGCCTTCTCAAATACTCATTGATTGAATTAAATGTTTTTTAAGCCTTTACCATCACCAATCAGTCGTGAGAAAATACTGAACATGTCAGTGTCTTGTTAAAATAGCCAACAACCCAAAATGAAGATGTGCAGAGCAACAAAGAAAGCAGCGTACTGTGTGGCCCCAATTGGACAGAACAAATTCAGCAACAACATTGAGACTTCCACCCAAAGAGATGGCCATTAGTCAGAAAACTCCACCAAACAAAAACTGAACGCCTTACCGCACAAATTCATGAGTGAATTCGACTTGCGGCCCCTAAAGTTGCCCTGATATGTTGGGTATTTCTGAGACCCTCTTGTTTGGCGGGGCTCAGACGTATCTGAAACCGCAACAGAGCAGAGCTCAGGTGAGCATTTCATAGTTGTCAGATATGACAATGCTCCATTCTGCATCAATTGGACTCAAATTAAAATCCTTTTCTTCTTTTTTTTCTCTTTACTAGTTAACAGATTGAAACATTACCAGATACTTTCATAAATGGGCTCATGTAAAAAATAATTCTTAAAAAAGTGAAACATCAACTTTATGTGGAAAATTGCTCAATTCCTCACTTGAATGAATTTCATCAAGCAAGATTTCACCTTACTGCTTGATTTTACTACCTTGAATACTACATTCGAGCATCTTACACATTGGCTTCTACTCATAGTTCACAAAAATAATGTTAGAACTTACAAATGAATGATAAATTAAGTTAATAAAATAACAATAAACAAACAAAGCATCTATTAAAACAAATATATTAAAACTACGTGCATTAATATTGTGCCAGAGAAAAGCACTACATGAACTCACCACGTGATGTTTTATATGAACCACGTCTCCCCAGTTGATTGACACTTCGACAGGGTGAAGCTCCTCTGCCATCATCTGGTGAATCTGAAAAAAAATAAAGGCTTGTTGTGAATGATTATTATTTAATTCACTCTGTGACAACTGCACATCATTTTAGATTAAGACACTGGAAAAATGTCAGCAACTCCACACACACGCGCGCGCGCGCGAGCACGCGAGCACGCGCGCACACACGCACGCACGCACGCACGCACGCACGCACGCACGCACACACACACACACACAAACACCCCCGAAAACATGGAAAACATATTACAGTCATAAGAATGATGAAAGTAACTTTTTATTTTCATTCCTCCATGAAATTCTCAATAACTATCATCACTAACCTGATTAACAGCATTTGCAGCATACATGTCTACATAACTCTCAAATACTAAATTACTGACAAACTGACAAATTTTCTGAAGCAATTACTAATTGTACAATAATACGTTTGTAATCTAATATAATAAACAATGTTTTCCTTTATACAAGATGTCTCTAATTGAAGAAATCTGTATTAGAAATAATGTTTATCAAAAAACATAAAAATCAATTGAGTATAATAAAGAATTTCTTTTACAATTGGTAACATGCTATTTCTGACAAAACGAGTTATCATGCACTATTTTCCGATTTAAATTTCTTGAAGTTTGACACATTCCAAGTTAGAAAGAGAGGGATACTGTTATACAATCCTGAGATTCAATTTTTGATGTCACTACAGCATTGCCATTTGAATGTTCATTGCATGTTACATGAATCAGTATGTGGCAACACTGCATTTCAGTTAATGATATGTCAACTCTCCAAGTTTTTTAAATCGGACAATACACAAAACATTTCAAAAATTAAATTTACAACAGCATCAACATCAATTATAAAAAGAGTACAAAGCATGAAAATGTAAAATAAGATAAAGCACAGCAAAAGCTTTTAATTCAGGAGGGAAAAAAAAACAAAACAAAAAAGAGGCCACTGATTTTTGATGAACCCAACTTCAATACATAACTTTTAAAGCTGACTCCACAAAATGTCACTACTGTTAAAGGCACTAACAATGGCAATCCACATTGTCAACTTTATCACTAAATGTAGGTCTGCAATTTTGAACTCTAGTCAATTCTTGGAGCAATTACTCCTTCGAGATGTCAAAAATAACATTTATTACTTCATGTTTCTCGTGAATCAACATTTATCTGTCACAAAAGAAGTGTGTAAGCAAATTTTAGAGTGGTTGAATAATACCATGAAAAAAGCCTAAACAACACTATTACTAACTGAGAAATCTACAGTAAAACCCCCAATTTCATGGAACCTTGTTGTAAGATAAATCCACATTTAAAATAAAATATTTCAGGTTTAGAAAATGTTGCACAAGATCACATTGCCTTCCTCTGATTTAGTGTTACTTACTTTTCGAAACCCCCATTTAAGACAAGTCTGTTTGAGATTCAACTGCAGCTCAACAGGACTTTTCGGCCAATATTAATACCTTTTGACAAAGTGATACTCCAGCACCTCATAGAAGAGATTGGCAACATTTTACAGACCAACAACACCAAGAGCACTGGAAAATTTTCTTATTTTATTTTGGGCAAATCTAGTTCACTTCTTCAGGGTAACAAACTAGTTGCTCTCCTCTGATACTGTTAGTCAATGATATCACAATTTCAATATAAAAGTGGAAATATATCTTATAACAAATTTTCAAGAGGGGTGTAGCACTGCATATTTCCCAAGTAATCAAAACTTCACACTTAAAATGCATTATAGTTGGTAATATTAAGTGGGAGACATTTGTCACTTTTGTTAGATGAGTAACCATTTTAAATAAAAACTCCTTCACTTATTAAGGAATTTCTTTCTGTTAAAATTTTGGGCCAATATATACCAATTTACAATTTATGAAAAAACATATCACATGTAGAGTGGAAAATAAATGTGCTCTGAAAACATAGTTAGTATTAGAAACCCAATGCACAAGGAAAATGGAAACATTTAAGTAAATTTCTAGTCCGTGATATTGGGGATCTTGCATAGTAATATAAGTAAAAAATTATTGGAGAGCATAATTATTTGAATCATGAAGGAAACATTTGCTGTGGTACAGCACGTCTGATATATGTTCCCAGTGCAGTCCTTTTCTACACTCACCTTTGAAGAGGGAGGCCCCCAAGCCTCTTCGCTCGTCAAGCCGGTCAGCCAGACTGTCCTGAGAACCCCGGTAATAATCGCGCTTCATGGGCGCACTGTATACCGAGTCTGGGACAAAATCAAAACCATGCAGTGATGCAGCACCAAGGCAGCATGCGAGTGCGAAGGGCACAAAATAGAAAAAATACACTTTCCTTACAATAGATATTCCCTGAAAGGACACACATTTTGATTCACATCAAAACAATTCTCAAAGTGTAAATGGATTAAGAGAAGAAAGACTATTAAGGGGTAATTCCTACCAAAGAATTCATACCTAGTTTCAAATCTTAAGAAACCGTATAGCAGGAAGATCTGTAGGAAGACAGCAGAGAAAGCTATGCAAATAAGGGAATGAAGACAAATAACTCCTGCTGATTTGGAAGCAGAAACTGCCCTCTAAACCACACCTTTTCTGTTTAATGTTCATAGCACATATGATTAATGATTGATTTATATACAT